AAAAAAAATATAAAGAAAACTCACAGTTTAAAAACAAACAAACAAACAAACAAACAAACAAAAAACAACAGCATTTGTCAAACCACGGTACGACAGATAGAATGATGGAAGTGATTTGGTTAAAATCTTGCTGGATATCAGATTTTTGTTTTTATAAGATTTTACAAAAGCTATACTGCACAATAAAGAACATGGACGTTGTTCTTGAAGAAAATATTTTTTGTAAGGATAGAAAAGCACAGCTTGTGTTACCTTAGAAACTGGTCACGAGGAATCAGGAGGTGCCATGGGCATCTAATAGCTACTTCTGGAAGCTGGTCGAGGGGATCTAATTTCATAATACATGCACTATAGTTTCCTAGGACAACTATAACCTGCCACCATAAGCAGGGTTTGAGATCACCCGAATGAATTCCCTCTCCTGGTTTTCAAGACCAGACACCCCAAGCCCAGCCCTTGGCGAGATTGTCCCAGGTACAGGTCCCAGAGAAGATACATCTGACTGCGTTAAATGCCCACCCAGGTAAATGCCTCAATCATCTCCCAACGGGTCCCAGATGGTTGACATGGGATCTTTGGGAGCTCAGTTTTTGGCTGGGAACATTTGTCATTGGTTCTTAGTCGTGTTGTCAGCTGAAAAATTTAAGCAGGTCTCATGAGTAGTTTCCTTATTATAAACCTGCCTGAAAGCAGAAACTCGCTGTTTCCTCACTTACAGTACTAAGAAAAACAGGTGATCTCAGCACTCCTTCTGAAATGGAATCGGAGCCCTGTGAGTGAGCAGCAGCAGGATGCTCCACGGTTTCTGCTCATTGGGTTACATTTTCAGCAGGCTAGAAACAGGTCCTAAGAGCAGGTGGTGACTGATGGTAATATTTTTCTAGCAGCTTTTTTGATATTCTTAAATAGTCAGTAGACAGTAAAGTCATTTCGTAGAGGTGCTCAAAGTCTAAATAACTCACACCAGATGTTACGCTCGAGTCACTGAAGCTTAAACATCACTAAAGTGAGAAAGAAGATTCTAGCACTGAAATGATACAGTGAGAGCATGGAGTTAGGGCACACGTGGACCACCTAGCCACCTAGGATGGCCTTGTCAATGCTACGGCTGGAGGCCACTAGTTCTTTTCTATCTAGTTTTTCTATCTAATGCTTATCCATTCTCTCTCTCTCATTCTTCCTCCCTTCTTGTTTTCATGTTTCAAATGTGCTTAAGTCCGCTCTGAGCTTTCTTTGTAAATATGAAATTAAGACTCAGCAAATCTACTACTTGCAAATTGTACAGACTGGAGAGAGTCACTTTTTTATATAAATATGTATATGTGTGTGAAGGTGTCTATGCAGACCAAAAGAGGGTGCCAAATCCCTAGAGCTGATGTCACAGGTAGTTATGAGCCACCTGACTTGGTGCTGAGAACCCAGCTCAGGTCCTCTAAGCCACCCCTGCGGTGTACCAATCTCCTTCTTGTTTCCAGCATAGTCATCTGTAGATGCAAATCTCAGAGGATAGTGTGCCCATAAAATGAGATAATGCACAGAAAATAACCCTCGGTCTATCCTCACATTAAAATTACAGCAATAGACAGGTGTGGTGGAGCATGCCTTTATTTCCAGAACCTAGGAAGCAGAGATAGGTGGATCTCTGTGAGTTTGAGGCCAGCCTGGTCTACAAAGTGAGTCCAGGACAGCCAAGGATACACAGAGAAATCCTGACTCACCCTCTCTCCCTCCATTACAGCTATTTTCATGTCTATACTGTCTGGTCATGAGTGTTTAAAGTTTGGTGTTTGGCTAGATGAATATATACTTTGTAATGTGTAAGTATTTTTCTTCTTTTTGGTGTTTACTGGGCTGTGTGTGTGCTGCACATATCTGGTCCCCAGTTTCTCAATATTTCTAGGCCAACAGAAATGGCTTAGCTAGATAAGAGATAAGAAGCCACTACGGGTTGCAAGGCTAGGACACTTGTTCTTTATAGGAAACAGCAATTTCAGGAGAATAATTCAAGGAAGCTGTGGAAAGTGTCAAACTGATCATTTCCTGGCCCCAGTCCTCATAAATGAGACAAGCCCAGGAACCTGCAGTTTAATCTGAAACTGAATAATGTGCTTTCAATTAGTACATCTTGTAGACCACATCGAAGATGTTTCTTTGTGCAATGGATAGTGGTTACAGCTGGTCAAAGTGCAGAGAACAAATGTGTGGGGAGTGTTCAGACATGAACGGGACATGTATAACACACCTCTCTCCCAAAGGCTCGGAGACCATTGCAGAAGAGGGGGTGGAAAGACTGTGAGAGCCGCAGGCAAAGGAGGCTCAGAGCAAAGCATGTCCTCTGGGCCTGGCGGGATTGCTACATTCACAACGCACAGCAGCCATGTTTGCCCTCATGGACTGGACAAGGTCAAGCCAGCTGATGTTCCAGCATGGGAGGGAAGGGGTCCCCAAGGCCCACATCTAACAGGAGGGCTACGGACAGTTGTTGGCTTCTTGGGGAGGGAGAGTCAGTGTCCTTTAAGAGTGTGGCCCTGATAGGTTGACCATGCCCTTGTGGATGGACCCACACAAATGGGTATATTATGGCAGCACAAACTGGACTCAGTGGACTATAGGGAGAAAAAAAAGAGGATGTGAAGTTGGGGGGTGGGTGATATAGCTGGGAAGAGTTAGAGGAAGGAATAAGGGTGAATATAAAAAAAAAGAAAAAAAAAAGAAAAAAAAGGGTGAATATGATCAAAATAGAGTGTATGAAAGGCTCAAAGATTTAGTAAAATATTGATATTTAACTAATATGACTTACTAGTCCTATCATATTATTTCTTTTTTCTTAATTTTTAATTTACATTTTATAATTTATTCATTTTATATCCCTATTGTAGCTCCCTCCTTCATCTCCTCCCAGTCCCATCCTTCCTCCCTCTTCCCCATTCCCCTTCCCTAGTCCACAGAAAGGGGGAGCCCTCCTCTGCTTTGCTACCACCTGACCCCAGCCTATCAAGTCTCATCAGGACTGCCTGGATCCTCTTCCTCTGTGGCCTGGTAAGGCCACTCCACCACGGGGAGGTAATCAAACTTAGCCAGGTGTGGTGGCTAGTAGTGGTAGTCCCAGCAAGCAGGGAGGCAGAGGCAGGCAGATCCTTGTAGCCTGGTCTACCAAGTGAGTCCAGGACAGACAAGACTACACAGAGAAACCCTGTCTTGAAAAAAAGAAAAGGAAAAAAGAAAGGAAGGAAGAAAGGAAGGAAGGAAGAAAAGAAGGAAGAAAGAAAGAAAACTTAAAAAATTAGAGAGAAAAAGACAAAAAATATATAACTTGATATTTTATAGGTCCTGGGCATGAAGTCCTTTTGTTTTTAAAAACATTGCACGGCTTTTAGATATAGTCTGCCTCCTCTTCCTTTTTACTTTACCCTCCTTTTTCAGACATCTGCTCCTCTGCCTTGTTTGTATGTAGACATGATGATACCAAGAAGTGTGAATTCTCTCCTCGCACTGTACAGACACAAAGTCCATTCCTTGCCTTACTGTGCCTCTTTTCTACCTAATTTGATGTTTTCCTGGCACTTCTTAAATCAGGTTTCAAAAAATTCAGCTGTGCTCCTGTTTGATGCTGAGCTATCTTTGTTGTTTGCACATTGAAGCTGTTCACTTCAAGTAGATTCAGGAACCTCCCCATCCCACTCTCTCTGATTTCCCTCTCAGTCTGGTAATGATATTTTTTATCACACCCTCCAGGTGTTTCTGAGAAAAGACTCTGACAAATACCGAATGGGGATCAGGCAAGGAACCCATCAGTTCCAGTTTCTCTGTATAAGCAAAGCTCTGGTGGTTGAGCTAGAAGGAAAGAGACTGTCTGAAGAAGACGGCAGTGGGGATGTGCATTACAAGATGTTCTTGGATGCAGACGTTGATTCGGAAGCCGGTTGCTTACGTTGTAGGAGTTTGCTATTGGAGCTGTGTTGAAGGTAGTGGCAACAATGTCAGCAGGTATTCTGGAAGAAGGACTTCCCTGTGTGCCCAGCACTCCATGCTGGATGTGGTCTCTCCACTTATTCCTGCTCATCTGCATGCTCAGCATTCAGGCTATTATATTAGTTAACAGGTGTGATTGACAGATGACCAAACCTACTGACATTTCAGAGGGGATTTACCTGAATAACATCTGTCAGCTATACAATACTATGCTTGTGAAAGGTCAGCATTATATCCTCAAGCTCTGAGCCTTTCTCAGCTGGTGACTGGGGGCGGGTGTGTGGAAAAGTCCAGACACATCCTGTTTCTGCTATCACTAACTGAAACAGTCAGCCAGAGAGATCACAGAGCTCTGGGAGCATTGCTGGTAGCTAACAAACATGCCTTGAAGTGAAGGACAGTTAGACATTTTTTTGTTATGAGAAATCCTGAAGGCCATTTTGGTTGCCTTGTTTTTTTTTTTTTTTTGTTGGCTCCAGAGACTTTTCTGAGGTTACAGACACAGATGGTCCCTGGCAGATCAAAGTCTCCTCTCTACTTGTGACCTTTCCATCACACCAGGCACCTTAGAAAGGAGAGGGCTAGCATTTGTGGACTGTTATTTACATGGCATGAGGGAGTAACCCATTCTATTTCCCAGGTCATATGACCAATGGCAGATAGAGATGCACACACTATTCCAAAAGTGAAACAAACAAGCAAACAAAACCATTATTAAAAGGGATAAGAAGGACAATGGGAAGAATGTTGAGAAAAAAAAATCAAGCAAAAATCTTGATGTCACTAAACAGGTCCCCAGAGACTATCACATGGGTGTCTTCAACAGGGAAAGATTGTCCATGCTGGGAGAAATTAAAAAAAATTAAAGTATTTATGAAGCATGTCCCAGGTAAAGGAAGGTCTCTCTCTTGAGAAAAATCAGAGCCAGGATATTGGATAATAATGTGTAGGTAAAGGAGGGGAGGAGAGAGCTAACTTTAGCAGAGCTAAGCACACAGGACTTCAGATGGAATTAAATCAGGACTTACATTGAGTCTGGAGTTGCTCGTCTGCCTGGATCGCTTCTCTGCCAGGAGATCTTTGACTGTGTGCTTCACTCTCACGCCCTGGTACACACGTTTGCTGTAATCTCCTGGGACTTAAACAAACGGAAGAATCACAACCAGGTATAGACGGAGCTGTTAGGTCAACCTGCCGAAGGCCGAGGGTCACGATGCTGTTTTCTCATTAGAATGGGAGGAACTTTGAGTTTAAAGCACCTTCAGAGGAGTCCTATTTTCTGAAAGGCCCTCCAAACTCCATGTAGGTGGAGGAGACACTCCTCTGCCAAGGGTTTCCAGCTCTGCTTTGTCATGGTTCACTCCAGCAAGATTTACAGTTTACGCTTTGGTCACAAGATCAAGGACTGGATGAACTCGGAAGTATGCCTACTTAACTTCTACCCAGGAAGAAGTAAAGCATGCATGACCCAGGTTACTGTGAGACTGCACTCCTATCCCGGCATACAAGTATGGGGCATGCCGCAGAAGACTAAATATGTTGTTTAAAGAAGGTCACACATGCTGTTGACTACACTAAATGCATTTCATCTTTGAAAATCTGGTGGTTGGATATGAGGAATTACTGCTAAAATCTAGGTCCAATGTAGGCTGGGCAATAGCTCAGTAGGTAAAGAACTTGCTGTGCAAGTATGTGACCTGAGTTTGGACTACCAGCACTGTATAAAAAGCCAGGTACGGAGGCGTGCACCTGTGGTCTCTGCAACCAGAAGCAGAGACAGGAATATCCTTTGATGGTCTAGCTGAGTCAATGAGGTCCAGGTTCAGTGAGAGACCCTGCTTCAGAAAAATATGTGGAGAGTGATTGAGGAAGATATCCCCTGGTGATTTCTGACCCCCACCCACAAATGTACCCCCCCACACAAACACACACTCGAAAAAAAACCAGACCAAGGATAAAAAAGTTATTGGTTCAGCTAACATAGTTTTGAGTACTTAATGCGTACTGTTGTTGGCGATACTAAAATGCCAGTCAATCTTCATGCATTATTTAACTCGGTCCATTTTGTAGATGAGCAAACTGAGCTAAGTGATTTGCCAAAGTCTCAACTAATAGCAATATAGATGCAGTTTAGACTCAGGTCAGTTTGTAGCACTAACAACTAGGAAAGAAATTTCACCAAGAAGAAACGACAGATGGATGGGTTTATAGAGAAACTTCCTCCCAAGGTTCTGAAATTGCTCACTCTTGTCTTGAGCAAGTGTGAGCTCTGTGAGCCAAGATGGTCAAAGAACTACTGGAGAATCTTCTGCTTGGACCACCCTGAAGGCATTCAAGTACAAAATCAGCGGTTGAACTAGACATAGTTTTAAATATTTTTAAGCTTGAGACTGCTGTGGTAGGTTGGATGGCTCTGCTCCACTTTGACTCAAGTGCAGCTGGCTTGCAAGCAAATTCAGAGGGGACAGACTGAGTGTCTCTGAGTATGACAGAGCGTACTCTCTTGTATACATGTCTGAGGAACATTGCCAAACTCTAATCTGCTTGAATTTGGTAAGAGTTTAGGGTGTATCTGACACACAAGTGAATTTGTGGTACATAAAGAATGGAATGAAGAGCAAGAGAGTGTGAGAGCAAGAGCCAGTGAAAGAGAGGAGTGGGGGGAGAGAGAGAGGGAGAGAGAGGGAGGGAAAGTGAAAGATCATAGTCACAGGCAAGACAATGAGTAGAGGAGTTTGCTGATTGAGCACCAGGAGCTGCATGGCCATACATTAGTCACCGGCATGGAAAAAAAAAAAAGAACCTCAGCCCCATTTTCTTCATTTGTGAAATGATTGTAATTTCTTCTTAGTTGTCTTCAGGGATTTATAAGAAGAAATAACCTATATATCTGAAAATACTAAGTTAGTTTGAAACCACTTAGTTTCATAAAAACCTCCATATACGGATAGAGTGGGAAAGCAAACAAAACAAAAACAACAACAACAACAAAAAGTTGGATTCAAGAGAATGAGTCACCTAACTCAAATGAAACCACTCACAACATGGTTTCAAAAAGTAAGATTATTTCAGTGGTCCCTTCTTGTCTGGTTTTGGTAAGATTTGGTCTACATCTTTTTTATTTAGGAGGATTAAGATACTTCTTTCAAATCACTGTCTAGAATAAAGCATGATATTTGATCTGGAATAGGTTGTGTCTTAATTTGTTTGTTTTTGGAAAAGCCTTAAGCTATACTTATTGGTTAGTTATTTATCCGGTATTTCCTATGTGTCAAAAGAGTACAAGAGAGCACACTGTTTAGTGGAGAGGAAAATATCTTAAAGTAATTACAAAGAAGATGTGCTAAGTGTAAGAATAGAAATCTATCTCGAATATTTAGAGAAACACAGGCCATATTACTTCCATGTGGGGACATGGTGTTGGAACTGGGAAAGGCAGGAGGAGGTCAAGGGACAAGAACATTCCAGGTGTGGAGGCCACGGTAGACAAAGGTCTAGGAGCAAGAAGAGAATGAGGACTGAGACAGGAAGTGGCCAGAAGGGAGGGTGGGGAAATGAATAGCATTCAACCATGATGTTTTTGGTACACGGAAGGAGCTAGGACTTCATCCTGTCAGCAATAAGCCATTGAAGGCTCTTAAGCAAGGGCAGGTATGCTTCAATTTGCATTTTAGATAGGCTAGTCAGGCCACAGCCTAGAGGGTAGATTTGAGACCACAAAGCCATAGGAAGATCAGTTTGGAGAATTCTAGAGTAAGTGAGACAAGAGGTCATAGGGCAGGTAGGAGGGCCAGGAGCAGATGTCAAAATTATTTCAGTGTAAGAGGGTACAGAGAGGAAGACTGAAAGGAAATTCCCATGTTTCCACCATTGCTCTAGGACATAAGTTTTAGAGCCATCATGATATTGATGATGAACCAGGAAAGAGGAAGTGACCCCTTGAGGGAATGTTTGTCAGGATCACATGATGACACACATAGGTAATCACACATAATCTACATCTGGCAAGCTGGGAGAAACAGGTCAGAGTACGCTAAAGAGCTGAGACAATTATATTGAAACCCCTATGTTACTGACGCGTGTGTGTGTAATTATTGGCATGTATTCATTTTACATATTAATAAGTTTCACAGCAAAGTTTATGTATTATGTACTTTGGCCACCTTCTCCTCACACCCTCCCTTTTTCTTCCATCCCTCCCCTGGCAATTCCCTTTCCTTCAGTCCTGAAGCTATTTTTCACACCATATATAAAATTGAGCTCATATATGTAGATATACACAAATGATAGAAATATGCAGTATTTGTCTTCCTGATCCCAAATTGCTCTCCTTAATAGGATGATCTCCATTTGTATGCATTTTACTGCAATTAACATCATTTCATTTTGGTTCATGTCTGAATAAAACTCCACTGTGTGTCACTATGTCCTGACGTACAGGACAGGGGGTTCTGGACTAGAGGTTTAACCACAGAAGCAAGGCTGAATTCCCATGTGATGGGGAGGAAGAGAGAACTTTATAAAGAAGATGGAGAAGATCAGCAGGAGAAGAACCAGTAAGAAACAGGGGACCATGGCATCAAGAACTTAGGGGAAGACATTTAAAGAAAGAAATAAAACTGATGTAATGGAATGACACTGACAGGACAGAAGAGCATCCATTGCTTTCAGTTCAGTGGTTGGTGTGGACCTTCCCAAAAGAGACTCTGGAAATATGGGACACCTAGAAGTCAAATGAAGATGTCAGGAGAGGGATGGAGGTGGTGGGGGACCCAATTGTTCTTGAAGTTTGAAGAGAAAGAGTAGCAAGAGATGGGAGGATGATCCCAGAGAAGTTCTGCATCAAGGGGACTATTGCTTGGCTTTCCCTGTCTATGTGTGTGCTTAGGGGAAGCAAAGAATGAAGAATAATTGAGTGAAAAGAAAAGAGTCAGGGTTTTTGAAAGAGGTCGGTGATAAGTTGGGATAAAAGCACATGTTAGTTCTCAACCTCTGAGAAGGGAATAAAGAAGGGTCACTTGAGAGAGGAGTGATGAAGGCCGTTGCACTGTACATGAAGAGTAACTTCAAAGGAGAGTTTAGTCAGGATCTTAAGGGTTGGATCAAAGCAGGCGTCAAAGCCAGGTGGAGAAATCAAGTTGAGAATATCCATCCTGTGACATGGTTCTCACCATGCAATTTCTGGAGCTTCGGCATCAGCAACTAGGAGCTTGTCAGGATGCAGAGTCCCAGGCCCTACTCTAGAGTTCCGAGTCAGAAACCCTAGGGATGTGGCCTGGCTCTCTTGGTGATTCTGATTTCCACAGAACCACCAGCATCTTGACTAGACACACCGGAAGACTTTCTGGTGTTCCTGTGTGTGGTGGGATGTGTTTGTGTTGGACACGCCCCTCTAACCTTGCCAGTCATGCTGGGCAATGAAAGGACACCATGGATGACAGAAGGCACAGACTCAGACAGGAGGAGAGGTCCAGGCTGCATCCCCCATGTGTTGGCAGACAGTCTTGACATTGCTTTTCTCTGAAGGACTTTTAAATTGATTATTTGAATCTGAACTAGCAACTTATGTTTTATGTGCATGCCGAAAAGCCTATGACAAACCTGCCTTTTGTAAATAGTTGAAAAAATAATCACAGGATAATTAACAGATGAATAAAGTTCACAAGACTTTTGAGGTTTGTTATCAAACGGGTGTGTGTACCTATTGGCCTCATGTTAGTGTGGAGTATGGGATCTTATGCCACCGCGGATGTTATACAGGTTTCAAGCACATAGCAGAATCGCATTTTAGGGAGCTCAGTGAGACGTTTCCATGTCAGATGTCTAAGCAAAGGTTTGTGTCGGGCATGAGGCTGACTTTGTACTTGGAAGAATGTTCATAGGTTAAGAGGAGAAAGACTTCGTGGCTAGCAGATGTGAGTAGGCAAAAGTGAAGAGGCAGGAAAGAGTCATGCTTGTGTGGAAGGGGTAAAACACTGGTGTGGTTTTACTTTTTAATTAATTAAGTGGCTTGTGTGTATAGTGCATGTGTGTGTGGATGTATGTGCAGAATCCAGAAAGTGATGTCTGGTCTTCTTTTCTGTCACCCCCTTATTCCTTTGAAACAGGATCTCTCATTGAACCTGGAACTCCCTGGCA